AGGTACAGAACAAGCAAGCATTACGACTCCCTGTCCACAGACAAAACACCAAAATATCAACTTAAAAGAAGATTTTATAAAGTCCCAGAGTTTTGCTTTGGCTATGTTTGCCTGAGTTTGTACACTGGAGTTTTCAGCTTCACTTGCAGACCTCAAACCATTTGTTTCCACCAAGTGGCTTTTTCACATTCAAACAGCATTTTTGTAGGAACAAACGTGGGCTCATACACCATCTTCCACATATTTCCTCTTGTTCACAACATGCCATACATCCAGCCACACTCTATCTCATCAGCAGCAGAGCGCAGATCTACTTCTATGGTAGATACACCAAATACATTGTGAGATGCTGCTCAAGACCATCAAGTCTGCTGGGATGTTTTTGGTAAACCAAGAGTATGCCAGCTCATGGCAGTCAGGCCAGTGCTCCTACCACTCAGCACGTTTGGATAGACCAGGTCTGAGCAAGGCACCCCACCCTACACTTAATTCCTTCCCCTGGTAAGCCTGTGGGCCCCTCTGACCTTGTGCCAACATGCAGGCATACAGATGACCTAAAATTTGGGCATTAAGCCCAGATTAAACCCTTGGGGAATATGCCCTCTAAAACCACACCCACGACATCCAGAATTGTAACGCAGTCTTCAAGAAATACGCCTTCCATCACCACTGGCTCGCTCCCTCAGTCCCCAGCGGCTACAGGCTCATAGTTCCTGATGAACTTCCTCCCTCATTGTACTTGCAGTCCAAGAGAAAACAAATCTTCAGCCACCCTTCCCCCCGCCTCCCTGCTGCCCATCATACTCACTCCCTGGCTCTGAATTCCTTTTCCATTACTTGATTTCCACTCTGTGCACCCCACCCTTGTGCTGTGCTCGCTCACTGCAACAGTCCGCTGACTCCAAGGCTTCTCTCCTCGATGCTCCTATGGCTTTCTGCTGGCATCCCTCTTCATGCTGCTGCCTGATCACATGAGGTGCACCCAGCGATGCAGAGGAAAACAGCACGCTACCCATTGAAACAACATAGTATCATGTCTTTAGTGCTTTAAACATGTTTTTCCATTTTTTGCAACACCACATTTCAGGTTCAGAAACAGTATCTGCCTTTTTTCAGGGTGAAAAGTAACCCAGCTTTCAGAATCAAAATGGAGAAAAGTATTAGTTATTGGAAATGCAAAAAAGAAATCTCTATATAATGAATAAATTCCCACACTGAAATGAGGTGCTCAGTATAGATTTGCATTTCAACACATGGCCTTGTTATTTACCACATTAAAAGCAATTTTGTTTCCTGATATGACAATGCTTGCATTTCTATAAGGGGAGTATGGGCTCTGTGACACTCATGACATCTACCCTGTGCTGCTTGTTCTGTGGCCAGGAGAAAGGAAGGACTTACATCAGCAAGATCCTGCATCTCTCCCTCTCTCCTCCTGTGGATTTTGATAATCATAGAATCATAGAATTGCCCAGGCCGGAAGGGACCTCCAAAGGTCATCTAGTCCGACCTCCGCGCAGTCAGCAGGGACACCCCCAACTAGACCAGGTTGCCCAGGGCCTCGTCGAGCCTCACCTTGAATATCTCCAGGGAAGGGGCCTCAACCACCTCCCTGGGCAACCTGTTCCAGTGCTCCACCACCCTCACAGTGAAGAACCCTCTCCTAATCTCCAGTCTAAATCTGTTCCCCTCCAGCTTGAAGCCATTGCCCCTTGTCCTGTCACTGCAGGCCTTTGTAAACAGGTTCTCCCCAGCCTTCCTGTAGGCTCCCTTCAGGTACTGGAAGGCTGCTATTAGGTCTCCCCGGAGCCTCCTCTTCTTCAGGCTGAACAACCCCAGCTCCCCCAGCCTGTCTTCGTAGCAGAGGTGCTCCATCCCCCTGATCATTTTCGTGGCCCTCCTCTGGACCCGCTCCATCAGGTCCATGTCCTTCCTATATTGAGGGCTCCAGACCTGCACACAGTACTCCAGATAAGATACCTTTAGCATGGTAACTGAATACCAGGCACGTTCATCAGCCTAAGCAGACTATTCCTTCTCAGCCTGCCCAACAGAAAACCAGGGCCAGTTTCAGCTGCATACATATATATTCCACTGGGAGCAAAACAGGCACATTTGGTTAGTGTAACAATCTTTTTTATTTCAGTTACTTTGTCACATATAACTTTATGTAAGCTACAAAAATCGTGAAATGCAGAAATGGTATTAAAACTGCAAACTTAAAAGTCTTGATTAAAAAAAAAAAAGTGTCTTTCCCTGCTAACAATGACCATTTAAAACAAACCATATTTTGATGGATTCATTTAATAAACATACCATACACTTCTCAAAAATAAATAAAGAACAACATCAGAAAAACCATCAACAACATGAAGCATTTAGTTGTCTTTTTTTTTTTCCTTTAAAGACAGAAATGAAATTTCTAGGCACAGTTTTAGGCATTATAGAGGACACAGAGGCAATAGGTTAGTGTGCACTGCTCTGTACAAAAATACAGTCTGAATAAATTACATTGCTAGCCATAAAATTAGACTTCACTTACCAGCCAGTTCATTGCATGTTTAATAATATACAGTTACATGCTAATCCATATATATCATTTATATTTCAAACACATAGGTGTCTCTATATTTGTTTTTAAAATTTACAAAAGCTAAATGAAGTTGTGCAAGAAATCCAGAAGAGGTGCTAAGCACTTGTCAGCACCGGACGGTATACTTTAAGCTTAAAAAATACAAATAACTAGCCCTGCTTGCAAGTTTGCTATATATATATTTCATCATATATATTTGGGAAAAAAAATAATGGATTTGTTGTGTGAGAATCATCCTGCCAGTGAGATAAAACCAAACAACTGAAATAATGGTGGCATGACACAAGCACAATGTACAAAATGATTGATTAGTCATACGTACAGTCAAGACACAGATATGTATCATTTTTGTGGCTAGAAAAAAAAAAATCAGCATAATGTTGTATTTACTTTTAGTTCAGTGCTGAGAAACAGAATGCCTGCTGAAATTCGCAATGGTAAGGGGGAAAAAAACCAAAATGGCAGTAGCAACGTAAGCTAAAGGTAGGTACATAAACCCAAATACCAGATGCCCAAACACAAAGGACCTGAGGAGTTTGAGAGGTGTGTCATAATAGATTGCATTATCTTCAAGAGGAAAAGCAGGCATTGAGACTGAAAATCAGATCTCTGACTCAAATATGAATGAAGAACCTTGTCTTTAGGCATTCACATTTGTAGATTTTTTTGCCTGAACATCTTTCATATTAAGAGCCGGGTGACTTTCAGAGTGCATGCCTTTAATTTGCATATGCTTTAGGCCTGACATTTGTCTTTACTCAAACTCTACTTAAAAAAAATCAAAACCAAACCAAAAAAAAACCCCAACTCGATAAATTAGTAGATACGATATGGGTTCAGAATTGCACCTTCTCGTCAGCACAGGCGAAGTGCTGCACAATGTCAGCACCAAAACACTGTTCTAGAAAGGTACAGAAATCTTCTCACAGTGGGCTTCTCTACATTAACCTAATTCCCATGCCAAACTACAATGCTCTCCATGCTGCTAAATAAAAGCAGAACTACACAGCTGTTCAGAAAGATATAGAGTTAACCATATACTGAATATCCGCCTTAAGTCTGTCTCAGGAAAAAAGCAGAGTTACAAATGCTCTCTGGTGCCTGTGAAACAAGTAGACATAATTTTTCCTCCCACCCTTTTTGTTCTCCAGGCATTGCCATACAATCCCATCCAAGTCAAGTTATCATTTTGCTCTGTCTAATCTGAGTAATCAGCACTGGTCCTGGAAAGACTGCTGATACAGAATATTCTGCCGTGGCAGTAAAGATCTAACTTGAGAAGAGCCTCAGAGTTTTATAAACCACCTCCATACACCAGCAATACTTTCACAACAACCTCCTAAAGGCAGCCCCGTGGCCCCACGGTCACTGCAGAACCTCTGCACCCTATGAACGGTGGCAAAGGCACTAACACTGTAGATGCAGCCTTAACATCAGCAGTCTTTTCCGTGGCACCAGCAAAACCATTGGTATAGAGGTGGGTGTGCAACCCCAGCCTACCTGCTTTTGCAGAGGTCCACATAGAATATATTTTAAATTTCTCCATTAAAAAAAATAGTTATTTCTAAAGATTAGAATTGTATAAAAATATGTTCATAATTAATTGAAAATATCCAAATAAGGAAATCATAAACAAAAATAAAAGTGATGCGGATTAAATTCATGTATAAATTCTCCCTATTTTATCTTGGGTTTCATTTCACGTGTACAGTCTCTGGATGTTTTAAGTGGGAAACATGCTAAGCAAGGAGTAATTAGATGTACATAATCATCAGCTGGCCCATGATAAACTCAGCTTTTATAAACAAGAGATCACCTCCTGCAGTGCTAATGCTTTAAGATGGATATGATGGGGTCTCAGCTGTCTTCTTGATGATCAGAGACACTTGCACCCTAACCAGATTTTTAAAAAATGGCAGTTTTTTCATTACAACAGCCTTAGAAAACAATTTCTAGTAATTACTAGATTACACATGGAATAGCAAATAGTTACTTCGTCCCATTCTATCTTGATCTGAACTTTTAGGCATTTCCCATAACATAGAGTCTGTACAAGGGCATATACAGAAGACAAACCATTTTATGTTTATTTCGTAACAGCAACCAAAATTGGGGGGTACCAATCCAAGACTCTCAAGAATGTGTACAAAATTAGTATTTTAACCACTGCATCACAGCTCATATTACAATTTTAATCGTCTCTCTCCCTCTGCATTTATATTTGTACTATATATATTCATTTATACTAACAAATACCTTTCAAAAATATAACTGAACTTGTTCCATATGCATTCTTTTCATGAAGTTAAATAGGTACTTAGGACAACTGCAATTCATTCATGCATTTTAGATGCCTCAGGGACGGTTGAAGTCTTTTTCTACCCCCC